TAATAATCATTAATTACAATCTATCAGGCTATCACCGACTAACGAGCCAAAATTGTTAAATTTAAATGCCTACGTAATATATAAAATACTATAAGTACATTTAGAAAAGATAACAGTATAAGCACTAGGTACTAAACAACGATCATTAGACCTTGTTCATCAAAGTTCTTTCAATCACGAGAAAAGCTTTTGGACGTTAATTATGTATTATGTTAGTTTCTTTAATATTTTTGTGACGAAGGTAGCAGGTCCTGATAGATGTCTGAATGTCAACAACGTGTAAACCTGACTACATTATAAATAAAAACATAGGTAAGTATTATATCGAATCCTTATAGGACATGGAGATATATATGCCAGTTCATAAAATAAAAAAGGAAGGGCCTAGTATACTAGCCCATTAATTGCGGTATTCATAGTTGAACCAATACATAATGACAAAATTCTGTATGTACATTAGTATTAATACATTGGATATAATATACTATTCTTTATATATAGTATTCAATATTAATTGTAAAAATGAATCTCAAACTCTACTTTCGTGTATAATTAAAAGGTGGAAGGTGATAACACAATACTAATGTATCCGTCAGTTCAGCAGCGCCACTCTCTTGTAATATAAAATAATACCTTAATAGCAACTGACGGACACGAAATTAATAAAAGAATAACAATACTGTCTTATTTACAAAATAATAGACGGCGATTAGTATGAGAACAAAATTTACGAGTATTGGGGATGCTGTAATAAATTAATTTGTATTGCCTGCCTATCATCCAAAAAAAGTGATTAGCAGCTAACCGTGTAACGTAAGTTCTGGTTAAATTGTCAAAATGAAGCCGTGACAGAGCATTTAGGGGAGCTACTGCATATCTCTAGCCATAACATGCGACATCTTATCGATGTTATGGCGGTATTTCGTTTCATCTTACTTTCGTTAACATGTCTTTTTAGATTGATAAATTGCTAATTTGGTAACGCTGCTGTCAAATTAATAACCATCGTTCTTCATCATTTGTTCGTCGTCAATAAAGTACATGTTAAAGTAGTAAATGAAACATATAGACACCACGTCGCTAAGATGTCGTAGCCCACTCATCTAGCTATCCCAGTATATAGTTAGATGAGTTAATTCTTCATTTTGGCAGCTTAACCAAAGCTATAGTTACGCGGTAGAGTCGCTGGTCACATAGAAATATATAAAATTTTCAAATTCATATATTAATGGTTTAAGTAGGTACCTAACAGTTTTCGATTATCCTACTTGCCTCCTCCAGTACCGGACTGATAAAAATAAGCGCCTCTATTTTAAATTTGTTATTTACCAATTTTATAGAAATCAACATAAGTAAACTATTACTTGCCAGTTAAGTACATACCTACATATTTTGTTAGGAAAAGATTAGTATTTTACCCTTACAGGTATAAGTACATAAATTAAACATTAATTTTTGAATTAATAAATATTTAAACTTTTGCTTCCCATTCAATGTACAGTCAACTGAACGTCAGAGTATCAAAATCTGTCAATTTCCCCACTCGATTTTAAACCTTAATAATATTGTAGGTAAAGGTCATAATACATTGCAGAAATTCAACATATGACGGCAACCTGTCCTGCAGCCGTGTGCACCACAGAACATGGAAAAGAGGTGTTCCAAAAGTATTATCTCATAATAAAATATTTAATAGCATCCAAATTGGTACCGAAATAAAAAGTTTTTTTTTTATTTTATTATTTCAGCATGCAAAAGAGGCAGCACTGGAAGGGACGATTCGGATTATGATATTGCTTCTGATTTATTGTCGAACTATAAATATTACGCTACTTTATAAGAATTTAATAAATACCTAGATCAAATATTTAAAAAAAATATTTTCTCAAAATATATTTTAGTCGTAATGTACTTTTATAAAACCTCAGAATTATTAAAAATAACGGGACCTATAATCTGCTAAAGTTAACATTATTAGTTGGTTACAGTAATCATTACTGATTTTGCTAGACACCATTGCAAATAATGTAATTTTGTATTAATTAACAGTGTTATCGGAATACAAACCCTGATAGTGTTCTTATTAGAAAAATAATTTGACAGAGATATTTACCATTCAAACGATCATTCATTCATTTCATTTTCATTTTACATGTAGAAATTAATTTATTCATTTGACATTGGCAGAATTGTGCGAAATGCGCAGATAAGCCATTAATAAAAGAAAAAGTAAAATTGGCATGATATATTTATAATAAATATGTATGATTCTTTAAATGAAATAGTTCCCGTTCGTCTGTATGCCCCACATGGCTGACTATATTTAGTTAAAGAATAGATTCTCGAGAAGCCAGACAACAGCAATACGTTTAGAGGTCGTAAGTTTATCCAATATATATTTTTCCGGCTTATCCACACACACCGTCCCACATCCTAAGGATGTAGGTAAGCATTCTAAACATTTCGTAAGCTTATTGTATTTTAAGCATCAAGTTTCTACTCATTTAAATAAAAAGGCAATTCAATCGGCTCTTTTATGTTCGTTACCTGAACACTTTATTTCTATAATAGATAGGTTCATATTGGTAATGTTATTTCAAAATTAATTTCAAGTTGGTATCGGCATGAAATAGTAGATATATTAAACTCGTATATTAAAAAACTATTAAACCAGGAACCTTGAGATACAATTATTTAAACCTGAGATTATAACGTTAAATATACATCAAATTAAGTACAATAATAACATATAGGTATTAGTTAAATAAAAACAGTATTATTTCAATTATCAAAGATAGGATTTAAAATTGTAATATCAATACCTAAAAGAGAATGTATGTTTCTTTTAGGTATATTGACATTTCATCAAATTATTTATTAAAGTGACTTATATGAGTAAATTATTAAAATGAATTTGCGAACCCGTGACGGGAAGAATGGGCAGGTGTTATGAAAAATAGCTGTGAGGATAAGGCACGTGGCATAGAACACGGAATAAATACAAAGTTCTCAATTAATAAAAAATGAATTGAGCGCTATAAAGCGCCATCTGGTGGGTCATTCCATGATCTGACTAACAATATTTCTGTGCTATCGTAGAATATTATGAAAACGCAACAAAGTTAAGACACAGGTTAAGACATCAGACTAGCTTGCTTGAAATATCACTCTCCTTTAGCCTCATTATTGTAATTTAAATATGTACTATAGGTATCCGTGTCTTTTTACAATACTATTATTGATTGCCCATCAGGCACAATAAACCAAACGCATTAGCGATTTTGCAACTGGTTTTCATTTCAATCAAAGGTCTATTAGCTATGTTGAATCGACTGAAAAAAGTAGCTAGGTATTATTAACCTTCATATAATTTATTTGTCGTAAAATATTCCAATACTCATTGAATAGGCGGTATAAAGATTAAATATACTAAAAATAATAAAAAAGGGAAGAGATCATTCTAGAGATTATAAAGATCCGGGTTGTTTCATATTTCTATCTAATACACAACAAAATACGTAGCCCGATCATCTCATAATTTAACGAGTTTCCTCGTAATAAAAAAAAAATATTTCTGAAAATAAAACTATTTATTGTAGATGTCGATATGTGTTTTCTTTACGAGACATTTGTAGTTTTTAATCAAATTGCCTATAATAATGCGTTCCGATTATTGAGTGAATTGAGTTCCGAAAATTAATAATAAGTGGTCTTTAACTTGCATGTTTCTTTTAATATCTTAATTTTCAAAATGAATAAGGTGCTTTGGGATAATCACGAATGTGTGGAAATTCCGAAAATTACATTAAACAAGCAATTTATTTGTTTTATCTAATTTACAGTATTTTCATCTATTAAAAGATTTTTTATTGCCAACTTATATTAACAGTTTATAAAAAACAATACCTGATTTGGTGGTCATTCATCATTTTTAGGATCTTTCCCTGCTTTCGTAATTAAAGCACTATACATATATATTTTTTAATTATTTCATTTTGTTATGGAAATATTACTGGCCTGGGCCATTTTGACATCATCGTTTGTGGCAAACAGTATCGCCATCTAGTGACATTTATTTTAGTAGTGATTGAATACCTTCTCAGTAGCATAATATAACTAAGCAGAAATAATGGATGGGGCTGAGACATTTTGCGTTTTATAAAGAATTATAAATAATAATACAGTAGTTCATTTACTTAGAATTATGAACATAAAAAAATGGAATCGTTTCTCACATGAAATACAGAAATAAATGAAATACTCTTGTTAGAAAAATATATGAAATAGGAATGTATATTATTTGGAATTAATATTCAACAAATTTAATTTGTCGATTCGTTAATTTAATTTAATGTTTGATTTTCTACAAGGTATAATTATATTTTCTGCTACTTTCTTATAATCCATTTCTAGTTTTTTTAATTATTTGATTAAGTACATATCATTCTGTTTTTTTGTAAATAAGTGTATATTTCAGGATCTTACAATAATAAAAAACAATAAATAACATAATATTAAATCTTTTCCTTTTTGTTATTCTAAGCACGTAATTTATAAGAGCTGTGATATTAATACATTTAAGAGAATACCTATTATAAATCATATTTAAAGTATCACTCCCAACAGCGATATTTAGTATCAAATAATTATGCATTTATATTTCTGAAGAAAAATATTAAAGGAATTCATATACGATATCCAATTAACAGTTTATGTAAGTAAAATGTATTTATTGAATAGTTTATTTCGAATGAAATGAACCGTCCAATTATTTAGTACCTTACCGAAGGTATAAGCACTGATATATTATAATAGGCATGACGATTAATTTTTGTTTATTTGCCCGTCAGGTAGAGTGTTGAAAGATATTAAACACGTATTATTATTTTTTTTGGAATCATAATATTACGGCGATACATCGAGTTAAATGTCGCGGACCTCACGCTTTGGTACTTTTTCTACAAAACTGTGACGTAACGAGCCCCCACTCCTCAACTTTAATTATCTAAGTTGCCTGTTATCTAAGCTACTTCTTGTTAAATTGAAGTTTAAAAAAATACGTATCTAATATTTTTCTATTATCTGACTGACGGACTAAATTGAATTTCTTTTTTTTTTACCCAGTCATCATCCCTATTGTAATAATGACCTTGTAACAGATAATGTTACACTAGGTAAGTCATTTCACATTTGCGTTAGTAGGTGTAAGTATATAATTTTCATTTTAATAGGACTTTAATGCGATGCAATTGTAATTGTGAAACAGTTTTCAATTTATACAAATAAAGGTATTACAAAACATAAATAACATGACACAAAAGCAGAAAAATATAAACATCTTCGTGAATAAAAAAGGATCCTCAAATTATGGTATTAGAGCCATCTATTGAGTGGAATGGGTATTATTTTAAGTTTTTGGTCGGTGACGTTTTCCAGTCATTGTGTTCACATGCATGCAGCTCGTCAAATAATATAAATAAGTATATATGAAATGTAGGTTTGCACATGGATACGTATCATTGCATCGCATTTAAGGAAATATTAATAAATCTATATCGAGATAACAATGTATTGACTTTGTAAGTTACGTGTTTGACTTTATACACTCAGTTCTTGTCCATTACATGGTGATGTAAATAAGTAATATAATTTAGACTTATTTCCATTAATATAATACTTTTTAACCTTAATATGTCATACTATCACTAAAAGTACAGTAACATCAAAACTATGACAAGTATATTAGATATATAACATTTTAAGGAATTATATAAACGCCTTTGTTACTTTTAAAACTATAGTGATTGCTTATCAATGAAAAGAATAAAATTTACAGTCGTATTAAGTGAACTTATATACTAATTTTGAGGAAGCTATAAGCTTACTCTTAGCTTATTTAATTAGAACAAAAATGATACAAGACTAGAAATATAATTGCTTGTAATAATTTATTAATAAAATAGATATGAGATTATTATTCCTCCAATCTGACATTATACGCGATTTGAAAAGTATAATTAATATATTATATTCTTTAATACAACAGAATAATAAAATATCGGTATTACCCAAATAGTGACCAAAGGTAGTGACCGATTGTGGCATCGAATATGTACATATATCCACATCAACATAATTTACAACCTGTATAAGTATGTATAGACACGTAGGTAAAAATACAAAAGTACGTGAACATTTCCATAGTGGTGAGAGAATTTAATATAATCAACTTACGAGTACATGACTTAATAATCTAAGTTACAATGATTTATTGAAAATTATATAATCATAATCACAATTATTGCATTACTAATAAAGAGAAACAACAGTTCTAATATTTATAAAAAATATCTCAGCTTAGCCGTTGTCTAATAATATCTAAACATTTGAGATAAAGCGTGATAAATTATATAAAATATTAACGACGATTGCGCGAATTGGGGGGGTTGCTTACTGGTGCCAACAATCGACGTGGCACAAGAAGCCTGGCATTTCCCCTAGCAGGTCTTACAGCACCCGGCTGTTTGAGATCGGCCAAATGGGACGCGTAGCCATCGGTTAAAGTTGTTGCTAAATTACTGTATTTTTTACTGATACGACCAATAGCATATATTTGTTTTGGAGATAATCCACAATTATGGTAAACAGTTATATCCTTTCCTGATCCATAAGCAGCATGTAAAATAACTCCATGTTCATTTATAAGGCTGTTAAGATGTGCTGCTTTGTGACCCAATGGGTCAGTTGAAAATCCATCAGAAAAGAAGACTAATCCATGAGGAAAGTTGTGTTCTGCCAGCCAAGACACCACCTTTCTCTGCTGCATATCGGGTCTTCCAGTGATATAAAGGATCAGATAACCCAAATCTTGCCAAAACCGAACTACGTCAACTGCTCCAGCTCTCACTTTTGGATCTCGACCAGTAACCGATACACTAGCAGTGAAAGATCCATCAATGCTAAAGACAATACATTCTGTTTGTGGTGGTACGACAGCCAAATGAAAATTGCAACTTGTATGATCGCCTCTAACGACGACTCTCATTGGGTAAATGCCACAGCCTACACTTTGTTTTTCTGATAAAGTATATGAGATTCTACCTGTTTTATCTGTAACTACAGTAGATAAAACTGCCCATTCACCTGCTGGAGGGTCTTTCATCATATAAATGTCTACTTTTTCTCCTGTCAAATTTATCATATCCAAAGGTCCGTACATAAATCTAGCTGTAAACGTTTGCGGATTTCCTTCTTTTACGATTACATCGTTAGCTCGATGATTAGCAGCAACATTTTTTAATTTAACAGATGTTCTTTTTCTCATCCATTTTTCACGTTCTTGGTCGGGTTTGAACAAAGTGAATTCTTTATCTTCACAGTGACTATATAAAGCCAGATCAAAATGCCCAACTTGTCTCAATATAAATGCAATCACGTCGGAACTTTCCCAATAACTAGCGTGAAATAAATGGGGTAAAGCGTTTGTAGGAAAATTAGCTAACCCCTCAGGGCAATATAAAGCGTAGTCTAATCGTTTGGATCCCCACCATTTTTGTTGCAATACGTTCATAGTAATCAATGGAATGTTATCAACAAGACCACTAACTGTACTTTGAACTGATGCTTCAGAAAGCCTCCGTAGTACTGGAGTTGGTGGCATTTGCAAATGATCTCCAAATAATTGTGGATGACTTTGTATCAATTCCATCAAATGATATGGTTGGCCATTACCTAAAGGGTATTTAGCATATCGCGCAACGTTGATGGGAGGCAAATTAGTGAACCTAGCTGACAGCAAAGGCTCCAGTCTTGATGCTACTGGATCAGTGGGATGAAATAAGTTGTACACTTGTTGAGCAGGTGGTTTAACTATATCGCGACTTTTATCGTCTGATATTTTTCGGGAAGCCAATATCAAAGAAAGAGGACTTCCAAAAGTAAAAAAGTCGCTAACTTCAAATTCAAATTTGACCTGATTATCGCTTGTTGAAGAGGATCGCCTCCGAGGAGTAGGGGCTTGTAAATGAGATTTATTTAAATAATTCTCAGATGGATCGTTAGGGATCAAGATCTCGGTATCCAAAATACTGTTTTCACTATCGTGCCGGGATTGATATTGTAACGTTCGGCACAACGCATCATATGCTAAAACTGAACCCATGCTATCACCAACAATACATACTTGACCATTGAAACCTTTTCCATCGTCTGATTTCATAAACTCGTTAAAAACAAAATTAGCACAGTTAATTGTTTTTGTCACTGAATCTGCATATTCTGGAGAAGATGTAGCAATCAATGGTATAGCACCAATAGGTATAAGATCGTTCGTGAGGGAGGGAGATTCAACGGTAGATGGGGAACAATCAAAACTATAAGGACTTAAAGTAGAGAGAATACCTAGAGCTTCTGTGCAAATAGATGGACATGAAACTAACTTTATAGTTATATGTCCAACTAAAGTTGGATAGTGTTGACGCATTACAGACTCAAAAGCACCCTTAAAAGTAGTAACATCAGATTTTTTTGCTGTCATATCAACATTAGCATCTAAAACACTACCGGCATGAAATACTAATATTAACACAGTTGTTGGGCAGGAACCGTGAACTGGAGTTTCAGGACAGCCGTCAATACTTTGATGACTTTGCAAAGCAACCATTCTACGAGAACCCCTTTCTGACGTAACTCTTTTCAAGAAACTCGGGTTAAATATGCTGTCTTCTTGACCTTGTTCACCTTGAGTAGGAGATATGTCAATATCACCTTCATCTAGAGAACACATGGATGACCATTTGTTAAATGAAGATTCACAGTCATAAAACTCGTCTTCAGATCCTGTCTCAGTTTCAGATTCTCGGACAATTGTTTCCATACGCCAATTTGACACTTGCTGTTGTAAACTTTTAATAGAACCGGATGAAGAAGATCTGAGGTTAGATTTAGATAAACTCTTATGATCAGATGGTGGAGTTCCTTCTGGGGTTAAATGTTTCTGAATTCTCTTTTCAGCTGTATTCTTCTTAGGAGCCACAGGTGTAGGTATATCCTCATTTTTCTCTAGGCTGCTCATAGTAGCGGCCAGTGACTTGGAGTTCTCTTCAGAAAGGTCTTGCTCATCACTAGTATCACCAGCCATTTTTTTCTGCAAAGCTAATTGTGTTTGTCGTTCTATTTCACGAATATCATCCATTGTGAGACCATGCCATTCATCTTGCCAAGCCCATGCCTGTCTATGGGCTCTTAGCATAGTTTTTCTCAATGCTACATCATGGATGAATTTTTCTAATTTAGTTTGCATTCCCCAATATCGGAACTCAACTCTGCAGAGTTTATAGGCACACATAAGAGATTTCCCATTTGGAAGTGGTTGAGATTTTCCTTGAACTTCTTTCCAATAGTCTTCTAGCCATGTATCAGTCAAGGGACCTCTATTACATTTTTGGGAAATAAATAACTTTGGATCTTCTTCTTTAACATAGTCTGCACCATAAAGTTGATCTTTAACAACATCAATAACATCAACAATCCTATTTTTTAAATCACTGCCTGATAAGTTGAAGACATTATCTTGGTGGCCATTATCAGCATAATAATAAGTTTCTATTTCTAAAGAGAATTTTTCAACAAATGGACATGTGTATCTGGTTTTCGTGTATGGATAGGCATTCCAAGCTTCTTCAGACACTGTTAAAGCTGATTTTGGAAGCAGACTTTTAAACCAACCTGGCAAATGACTACCAACATGATAAATTTTCTGTGTGTACTGACCTTTACCTCCAGGTCCATCTTCATACGGTTCATTTACTAAAATTTCAACACCACTACCTTCACCTGAACTTTCTTCTCTACTTTTCTTTGCGATCATATAAAGCTGCGCAATACGATACTCTTCCACAGTCAGTGGTAGAGGAATTCTGTACTCCTTAATCAACATCTTGAAAGTTTATTTATCTGTAGATCATCACAATTATCTGTAACAAGAAAGAAAGGATTTAAACTTTTACAACATGGAAACTAGCTACACATCTGTCAGTTCTTTTATTTTTTCTCAAAAAAGTATTTAAAGCATATCTTATTAATGAATCTCAAAATGTCAGCAGAAATGTTATATGCCCTTTAAAACATTTTAATTATAATTAAACATCCTAAAATTAAATACAAAAATAAGAGTTTCAATTTTGATATAAGACTTTAAAAATTTTGTTATGGTATTTTGACAAAAAATACCATAAAAGTATGGATCAGAAATCCGGGTCTTCTCGGATAGTAAATCAGTCCTACAGGCTCTTAAAGGGAGTTCGAGTCTTCTACAGGAGTGTCACCGGGTTCTAAACATGGTAGGGACACTATAATTACCACCCAATGAAACTGGCACGCAGAGGGTCAGACGCAACACCAATGGACTCCGAGCCGATCATTCCCATACCGTTAAGATGACGTGATTACTTCAGTAAACTACATCGACAGTACTAGCACACTTTAAAAGACCTGGGGCTCTATTTTTGAATCATTCGTCTCGCGTCGAGCGCTCGTTTTCTACTGATTTTCGTTCGACTTAACAAATTCGCCATTTCTAAATCGCTCGACTGCAACGAATGGTATGAACCACTCGTCGCTTAGTGAACGTTGTATGCGAGTGATAGTAGAAAACGAGCGCTCGACGCGAGACGAATGATTCAAAAATAGAGCCCCTGTAGGCAGGCTAAACTCGCACTCAACGCTCGCCTCTCCAAAGCCCTTCGTAGTTAAGTAAACCATTTCTGCGCCTGGTAACAGGTGCTATTACTGGTTATGGCAACTTTAATAGGCACCTTTTTAATTTAGGTGTCCCTGACAGCCCCTTGTGCAGATACATGGACATCAACGGAGTGGCCTACTGCCGGGTAACTTCCAGGAGGCCATCACAGACGTGAAGGCGCTGGAAGCGTTTCTGGCAGAGCTGGGATGTCTGGAATAACCCCCAGTCACACACCCTCCGTACTCAAAGTGTGCCTACTTTGCTCACGGGGGTGGATTTTGACGTCGACTTGACGTAGACGTCCGTCGATAAAAGAAGAAGAAGCCATGGTATAACCGTAACCATTTCATAAATTATGTAGGAGTGTGGAAAAACTTCAATATTGTTTATTATGGGCTATAACAAGGACATAAGAAAGTTAAAAGCTATGCCATCAGTTCGCAAATCTATATGTGGCCATGGACTTATAAGAACTGGCAAGATACTATGCAAGGGCTGCTTTGTTGGTCCTATTTTATTTCAAACCTCCAAATTAAAATTAGTTAGAAATAACAAAAGGGATAATTTTTTCAATAATCAATTATCAACTGAGTCTAAAATACTCATCGACAATACCTATACTTATTGAGCTTTGGAACATAGGGCTTCTTTTAAGGGCATTTTGCTTCTTTAAAAGTAAAGTATAATTGAAGATGCGCCGAATATTCGTATTAATATTAGTATTCGGTATAAGGCATCTTTTAAACTATTTATTTTCGGCCGAATTATACGGTTTAGTATTCGAATTCGGTTAAAGTATTTATATTTTCTTGGCTAAATAATATGGTATTGAATAGAACTAAAAGGCAAAACATATTAAGTAAGATTTATGCTATATTGTAAGTCAAAGAAATCCTATGAAGAATGTGTTGAATCAAACTAATAAAACAAAGTATGTCTATACTAATATTATAAAGAGGAAAACTTTCTAAGTTTGTTTGATTGTAATGAATAGGCTCAAAAACTACTGGATCGATTTTAAAAATTCTTTCCCCATTCGAAAGCTACATAATTCACGAGTAACATCAGCTATATTTTATTTTGGAAAAAATAGGGTTCCGTAAGATATTTGGGTTTTTCGGACACAGGATGTAAAAAATCAACCAGAAAAGTTACTTATTTTGCGTACGCTGCCTAAACTATAATGTCGAGTGAGGCACAACAACAATTTTTTTATTTAAAAATCTTGATTTTTTTTTTGGATAGCATTTTAACGCGTTTATTTTACACATCCTATTAATCTTTATCAAAATAAATTTCATTTCATCACTAAGTACAGTTTATGTAGATAATATTTGGTCTTTGAATGATTAAAATTGGACGTTTGGTTTTGAAGTTATGGCAAAGTTGCGAAGTGGACGTCACCAAGGCGAGGGTGCGCGTGCGGGAGGGGAGTTTAGATCTATGAGTAAGGTACCAGCGGCCACGCGGGCGAAGCCGCTGGCGGAAAGCTAGTCATACATAAAGCTTCAAATCATAAATATTTATTTTATAAACCAGCCTTTCCCAAAGTGGGCGATAACGCCCCCTTGTGGGCACTGCAGGCCTAAAGAGGGGCGGTAAAAGACCGAAAAAAATGAGGGTGTTCGGGGGATGGGTGATTCGCTCCGTTTCGAAATGAAAGAAATTTGTGTCTAACAAACAAACAAATAAAAAAGCAATAGACATATTTTCGCATTTTAATAGTTATTAGTACTCCTAAATATGTAATTTTCGTAGATAGTAGACCGCGGGAAATCATGATTTAACAAGTTTTTGTTAAATAACCCGAATTGTGCATTCCTGTATCAATCGGCTGGTTCATATAATACTTGTTCGATTAAAAGTCGAATGAGATAAACGAGTTTATGCATGTCTGTTTAATTCCTGTCGGTGCGTGCTGCTTACGCACTTCTATATGAACAACGTAATATTTATTTCATTTTCATTTGCGGTTTCGCGAGTAATAGATGAGCAGTACCTACTCAAGTTCAATACTTACTTACGTATTTCACAAAACAAAACAATGTCGGAAGTAGAAAAGAAGAGACGGCAATACTGTGAGGAATATATTAAATTCGGATTCATTGAAAAGCCCACAAACCTATCGTCGCCTTTGTCCTTAATAAAATGCATAAATGCTAATTGCTTTAAAAGGCAAACCACATAACATCTGAGAAGAATTAATGTTGCCAGCAATAAAGGAAGTCATAACTACTGTGCTTCAAAAACCGGCCGAAGAAATAAGCTCTTTGAATGATAGATTATTTCATCAGCTAACGACGAAAATTTTAACCGTTTGTTGTTTCATACTGAACTTCATTGGCTATCAAGAGGCAATTGTCTGACTAGATTTTACAACCTATTTAACTCCATGATAGAGTTCTTGGAAACTAAAGATACAATTGCACAACAAGCTCATTACATCAAAGAATGATATAGCTTACATGACAGACCTGTATAAATTATTCAACGACATGAATGTCCAATTAATGAATGTGACAGCAAGGTGATGAACTAAATTTAATTAAAACAAAAAACGTCGTTGCTGCTTTCGCAGCCAAGCTGCTCCTACACATAAAGAATATGGGCAGACCTGAATTTCGTATTTTCCGAATTTATTAAAGTCCTGCAGTAACGACGATTTATTTGCCTACTGCCAACATTTGGAAAACCTCCGTATTGACTTCACTGAACGATATCAGGACATTTTGAACTTGGAAATACCAGACTATTTGTTGGATTTGTTTTCAAATGTCAACACAGCAATGTCACCTCAGCTAGAAGAAGAATTTATACTCGTAGAATTGGCAACAAGCGAGGAAATAAAAATCAAGTTCAAAAATGTTTACCAAGAATTTTAGCTACAAATCTGATCCCACAATTGTACCCTGTATTCATTATAATTGTTCAACAACTCTTGATAGCATTCACATTTATGGGAACGTGAATTAAGTGCTGTGGCAACACTGCTTACTAAAACGAGAAATTGTTTGCATTTTACCGAACGCGGCGACTTGCGACTGTTGTTGAGTAAATTGGTCCTGATATCAGCATGATTTATTAAACATCATCAGATTTATCCTTCACATTAATTTTTATATAAGAATCAAATATGTCTTATAAATAATAAATAGTCTAAGTAATATGTTTTATTTTGAATAAAAGATACTCTGTTTAAATAATATAAAGCTGCATTACAATAATCATGTTCATCGGCCGGTGTAGCCAATGATTATTAGACATAAGAGTTAACTTGAGACCTGAGTGTTGTTGTGTATTACTTACTTTGCTCAGGTTTTAAGTTAACTCTTGCGAGTTATAGTAAAAGTCTTGTTTAAAATTAATGTTTAATGTCCGCTAATATAGCTTACAATAATGAATTAATTTAATTTGAAGTTATAGTAGTTTTTAAGTAGGTGAAAAAATGGGGCCATTAAAAAATAATTTATTCTCAAAGTGGGCAGTAGACAAAATAAGTTTGGGAACCCCTTTTATAAACTATAGGCAACATTTAATCTAAATCAATACATATTTTTTTAAACCTCAAAACATTTTTTTAAATTTAACACTGGCTCCACATGTGACGCATGATGGGAAAACACAGGCCATCACTATTATGTAGATGGCACATTAATTTATTTTAAAATCTCATATAAAAATTTTTAATGAATGCACTTAAGGGGCAAATAATAAACTAGTATCTATAGCAGAAATGTATAAAAAGACAGAAAGCATTTATTTATCTCTAGCTAAATAAAAACAATAATTGGTAAGTCAAATTATTCAGACAAATATCCAGTTTGGTAAATGTTAAACCAAATACTATTCAGTCTTTAGTTATTATATAGGTGAAATTACTATTTCATGCATTTCTAATTATAATGAATTAAATTTCCTGATCAACTAGCCACAGATACCTACACAATTTAAATGTAATGATTATCCAAATATCTGGCATCCAAATTTAAAATAGATTTGGCTGATATTTAAAATCAAAAATATCTCTCGGTTTGAAGATTATTATATAATAATTTTACATTAAATGGGTACATAAGTATAACATAAAATAGAACAATCCTACACAAGTATAAAATTGGCCATATGTCTATCACAATTATGATTTTTATGATGCATACAATGATATTGAAAATTTCAAAATTGTCAGATGAAAACATACCTGGCACACACCATCTCATATATTCTTTAATTTTAATATAATCGATTTATTTTAACTAAATTTAAGGATTACAATTTTTAACACTTACAACTTTGATATTGTTTTTCTTGAAAACTTGATAGGTGACATTGTTATGGACTCAATGAAGTAGTCTAACGGTTAGAATATTTAGTCTGATAATTAGGTTTTAATGTCCTAATGTTATTATAATTGAGATGTTAGGTAATTGATTTATAATAGGTAAATAACAAAATGAAGAATCAATGATGTTAAGTTCTAACATAAAGTGAGCACTTTCAATAACAATTATGGGGTATGATATTTAAAATATTTCAATCAAATGGATAATTTTAATTAATTTATAAATACAATACTTACAGGAGTTAAATCAAATTGATAGATTAAAATTTCTAAAATCAATTAATAGTGACTGAAACTATAAAATTTACCTTTTGTAATATTTTGTTTCAGTAGGTGTTTCATACATCTTCTTTGTTTAAAGACACTGTAATATTTTGATAAAATATAATTTTAATGTATCGCAAAGAAAACAACTTTTACTATTGCACGTACGAGTACGAAGGATGAACTTTGACATTTTAACTCCCGTAGTGTACAAACGTCACAAGCGCCATTCCTTTACATGCACTTTTAATTTTTATGTAAAAGTAGGTTTTATCGTTTGCTAGCACCAATATTGACACACTGAGATTTTTGAGTCACTTTTGTTATTAAGCACTAAAAATGTACTATAAGATTTTTGCAAAACAACATCCTCTCAGGATGAACGTAGTATTTACAGACAAGTATTCTATATCTGGATAGATTGGAACGCTGTTGATTCTGCGTACAATATGGCAAAGTTAACATAAATATCGTTTTTGAAATAAATACCTTATTGCATAGGAATAAGAGCTTGATTGATTGTTAAAATAAATTTGTATAGTACTAGACAAGTACACGAAAGCCGAATTCATAGTCAAGAAAAATGAGTATTGCTATACTTACATTACATACTAGTTTTCCGCCAGCGGCTTCGCCCGCGTGGTCTTCTGTTATATATAAAAACCCCTTGAATCACCCTATCTATGAAAAAAAAACACATCAAAATTTGTAGCGTAGTTTTAAAGATTAAAGCACATAGGGATATAGGGACAGAGAAAGTGATTTTTTTAAAACTATGTAGTGATATTCACAAGTATTATTCAACCCGGTTAAACTAATATTTATACATAATATTTTGAATTTTTACAATTTTAAACATTAATCATAATTCATCTTCTTTATTTAATATGGATTATATCTATTTACACAATACTTGTTAAAATAAAATGACTTGTTAGAATAAAATGACGACGACACATTTCCGTAAAATTTGATTTGATGATCACAAAACATAGACCCACCAAATTCATACAGCTCACTATGAATACTGCCTCTTAGAAGACTGACACGGTAAAATCGATAACAGTCGTCCGTCGCAAAATAAAGCGCCCGCCCATAGTATTTATAGACAGTACACTTTACGCACGGTAGGTATTCTGTAGAAGTAGCAGTAGGACGATCAGATACATGTTCTACTAATGTATTTTTTTTTTACCGAGTTTTGTGTATCTATTTATTCCTTTGTTTTTGTTTTATAAAATTATAGGAGTACTTCAATAATTATATTTTTGTGTAAACTTAAGTAAATTTACTAAATTAGGAAACAAGTAGTGATGTGGAACTCTAAGACACCACTAACACTATTACATATTACAGCTTAGGACTGAGATCTCAGTAAAACAAGTAGAAAAATTTCGGGGTTATTTATTTAACAGATAACAAACTAAATTATTGTCTTGGCGGCTTTTAAATCAGTCGTCTTGTTGAACGGTCCTTAAGGTAATAACTTAATGATTTAACTAGAAAACTAGGAGTGCAATTGAATGGCGGCATTCAATTCAAATGGCCGCCTAATTGAAAGGCTATTTTAACCACTTGGCTGCAACATATACAATTTTTCCCATTTAATGGAGAATGTTAGTTTTTGTACCTGTTGATTCATACAATTCGAGGACTAACTTCATTTCCTTTTTTGGAAACTGTTAATGATATTGAGCATCCTACCTTTCAAGCAACTTTCATGGTTCTTCACCTTTATAACAATGACCAACACAGAGCAACTCTCTTAAAGAAACATAGTTAGTCTTCGTTCTTTAAGACATTTGTTTACAATAATGCTGATATTTTGTGGTCTTAGAGATTCCTTAAGAATATGGAATAAGTATTAAAAAGTATTTGTAGACATTTACGCTTACGCATGCAACACTCCAACCGGCGACAGAGTGTTAAATAGTTTTATTCTGTAAAAGAATAGACGGTTTCTTTACTACATCGTCTTCTAAAAGGTAGTTTCGGTAGTGAAAAATAAGTCACGAAATTGCACATAAACTAATATTTTTACTGTTTTTGAGTTTTAAAATCGCATGATTATCTTAAAATTAAAAGACTTGACTTTTTGTCCGTGTGATTTGAAACATGTCCCGCTGTTGTGTGACGTCACTGTAGCGACAACTGTCAAATTAGACATAAAGATATGTATTAATTATAAATCAAATTCCTAGATGGCGCTGTTGTTAGTTTATTTATATATTTTATTTCGTAATCAATCATCAGATGGCATTGTTTTTGTTTTATTGACATCTTTTAATCTCTACTCTATGCAACAGTCACAAGTATTATTTCAAATGGAGTAGAATACCCTATTATGTAGAAAAGTTATTTATCTGATTATATTAGATGCCACTATGGCACTTGACAAATATACGTATATAACAAAAGCAATCCTGCTGCTTTCCGGCGGTAAGGGTAAGAATTAATTTAGTCAGTATTTGGAGATCTGAATTTTATTCTGAGCAAATAAAATAGTTTGTTATACGAACGTAGGGTATTAACTCCCTGAAATGTCCAAGCAACCGCAATTAAAGAAAAATTACACCGGAAATTCTTGCGTATAAAGTGGTTTACAATTCTGGACCTGAAAAGCATTAGGTCGGATGTATAAAAACTGTATAAAAACAGAAATAGCTAAATGCAATCAAAATATTTGAAAAAGTCGTCTGATCCGACTTTATGCATGACTGTTGCTCATGAGTAAAAAGGCACAAACATACAAGAGTTAATTTGCCGGAAAGAGAAAAAAGAGTGTAGCAACGTTATGGCGATAAGTGATTTTAGCTGGTTCTGCACATCCGACCTAATGCTTTTCAGGTCCAGAATTCTTATAATTATGACATTGTCCAGGATGATGTTACAAATCACCCGGCTGACCTGATTTTTAAATTCACTTACATCAAGTGGTCTACCCGCTCAAAAATATTAGGTTCAAAGTCAGTGTATCCAAAATGCTAATGAGAAACCTTTCTCCACCGAAGTTACTCGTATGGAACTGGATCAGGCTCGAGATTATGGATTCAACGACAAAGACGGTTCATGACACCGACACGGGACATGATCTGACCTAGAGCTTTTGATACCAAACTCCTACCACTACCATAATGTCGGATTTATATTATAAAAAAGCTGTTTGTATGTTTCATCATTTTATTAAAACAACAATATTTCATTGTATAAAATTTACAAAAAAACATACTCCTAACAAACATTTTTTTTGCCAAGAACTTCCTCATACCAATCATAAACTTTAATAAATAAATAATCCCTACAATCAGTAAGGCACATTTCTAAGCTTCATAGACTAAACATTTACGTCGTCATCGAAGGTTGTAATAAAATTGTACAGCCAACAGCATATCATGTCATATCCAAAACTCAAGCAATGAAATAAGAAAAAATAATAATAAATATTAGATAAGATAACATCACATACATTGCACAGATCCAAAATTGAATACCTAAAGCATTATTATAAAAATCTGAAATAACGAAGGTGGCACAACATTAAGAACCTAGATAATATAGAAACATGTCAAGCGTACGAGTCACTTGGCTGCGGTGGTCGGCAAAATAAAGCACACTTTTGATTGTTGGTGCTCTTGTCATTAAGATTAATGTTATTATCAAATTTTAATTGTTTTATTGTTAAATAAACCAAAGCCGACCCCAGGGGTCCACGGGAATAGTTTAAGAAACACTGTCCAGTCTTAAAACGATATTTAAATGGGTATATAAGATACTTATACATAAATATCGTTACCACATAGAACTATAAATTCATTCTATAGCACAGTCGAAATCTCAAAATTCTTCTTAGAAAAAATATGAAAATTAACCTTTTAAAATAAGGTGTATTTGTTAAATTAATTTTCAGATTGACGCTTCAATGCATTTTAATTTTGTGCCACTATGAATTGACCCTAACGGAATGTTCTTATAGTTGAATTTTGTTTACTCTACTGCTCTCGACGTGCGTAAATACAAACTGTTGATGCTTATAATGTTTATGAACAGTTATTTTTAAAAATGATATTATAAACAAATATCTTGATTCCCATCGTTTGAGCGCAATGTTAACAGTGTAGTTTAGACAATATGCTTTACAGTGAACATGTATCTGAAAATTATTTTGCTAACAAAAGTCTAGCTAGTTTGACAATATTTTGGTAATATCTAGGAATGACTTATGTAAAGCTTCAATAAACTGGGAACTATCGTTATGCGGCCTGTAACTTGTAACTGCGGCACCCAATTTATCAGGGAATGCTGAGTACCTGTAAATAATTTCAAAAATAGTTAAGTGTAATTTTTTTAAACAAATTTTAATATTATATCTGCATTATAGACTATATCTACATATATGTGACAGAAAAATATTTCTATACTTGAACAATTCAAATAAACAAAGTCGGGTGTCAGTTGCGGGAATTTACATATAGTCTGCTCTTGTCTATCTCTCTCTTATTTGTCCTATAGAAAATATAGCATGTTATATATTAGCGATACTCCGTTTAGTGGTTTTACCGAATTTCCAAATATTATTCGGTTTAACCTTTATCGAACCGGATATCCGGCCGAATTATTAGGTTTATCTTTTCATTGTTTTGCCACGTAAACAGGTTTTTTATTGCTTTTTCATTGTACACGATGAAAAAGCAATTAACATTTATTCACAATAAAGATATTATTTTACACATTCTCCATTGGATTTCTTTGACTTATAATATAATATAATTTAAATTTAAGAAGTTTTAGTTCCATACATGGCACGTAGCCAAGAAACTAGAAATACTCGAACTTAATATATTTCCACCGAAAGCGAATAATTCGACCGAATGCAAATAGTGAAAAAGATGCCGAATACCGATAAACAAACTAATATTCGGCGCATTTCCTATTATCGACTTCTATCTAGTATTTATCTATCTAATATGTAATAACAAACTTTTGATTGTATGTCACGGCGAGTTCTTTAATAATGTATCGTTTAAAAAATCATTGCTATTCCAATTGGGTAAACAATTCACTTACCCAATACCAAAACCATTTTGATCTACCGGCCCAAACCCGCCAGCTAGAACGCTCGGTGAAGATAGAGTACTTGTGCTCAAAATAGATTTATTCAAGAATTTGTATTCATAAGATTCATATAGTTCGGGGATTGGCATATTGTTATCCTCAGCTATTTTTCTCAGGGCAAACATGTGACGATCGAAACCTTGTCCCATAGCTGCCTCTTTCACCAATTGGCTGTGTCCCGTTGAGCATTCTTTTAACATACCACGTAGCTCTTCCTTAGAAGATTTGTTTAAGTGAAGACTGTCACAAAAAAGCTAAAACCAAATGTTTAAGCATGATAATAATACAGTATGATTACAATCACTGAATTTCAAGCGAGCATACAAACTCACTTTAGTTTTCTCGGTGCAAGGCCTCATAGTTTCAGTACGACCGTGTTTGAAAGCAGATGTACTGCAGGATTCGTAAGTACCGACATAATTTCCGTGTAAAAGATGATAAGCAGCCTGTATTGGAAAGAAAAAAATAATCGAAAATGAGCAATGTGTATCGAAAATTCTTACAATAAATTAACAAACTAAAAGTTAATAAATGCTTATAACAATATTTAGGGATTATTCTTAAATATGTCCATAATTATCCTATCTCTATATTTTCTATTTTCAAATGGCGTCATGTGGGTATTATTAGACAAGGTACCAGCCCATTAGCAAACTTTATACGGCTTTTAAAAAAAAAAACTTATTTTATTTAACACTTAGTTTATTTGTATGAAGAACACGATTTATTACACTATTTTAGATCAATATGTTGTCCGACGGGAGTCCAATCCAAAACTGATTTTATTAAGTATTTTTATTGCGTTCAAGACTCGGTTTCCTATTGCATGACGACAATGCGATAGGAAACGTCTTTGTTGCGTTTTTCATTTTAATAAGAACTAATAGAAATTATATTATAACAGTACACTATAATTAGTTTACGTAGGTACATTAAATCTTACAATCAGTACAACCGGAATAGTTACAGAAAGTACAAACTAAATTACAACTGGTAAGTCTAAAGACGGATCACAAGTTCCCAGCTTGAACTGTTTATATAAATTTGAATAAACTGGAGTCTTATTAGCATTTCGAAAATAGACAAAATTTTGTTTCTGAAGGTACATTTTTGATTTTATTTATGAAACTTCGCATGGTTTAAAGTCAATTCTAGAAGTGTTTTTGAAATCAGATTTTGCAAAGTTGCATGTGTATGTTAGACGAAATAATAATTCTGACGATTAGCTTGTGTGTGATTTATATATTTTCATACACTGCAAAGATACTGCTACCATTGGGTACCTCATGATTTATATAGAAAATGTAATTAAATGACAATATGTGCAAGTGAACACAGGTTACTTACTTGAAATCCAAGCTGCATAATGCAATCAGGACTAACTTTTAACTTTTTGCAATCTTCTTTATTGAGACCTTCATACAGAATGTAATCTATGCTCAAAGACTTGTACCACTCTCTGTACTCTTTTTTAGCAGATTCAATAAAACCTTTTGATGTATCATCTAATTTAAATTCTGAAATCATATCACTGAAATATACTATTTAACACTCTTAAATATTCATTCATTTTGCATTCTTAGTCATTACGATATTAATTTTTTTAACACTTACACTTCACTAATAGGTTGTATTGTTGATTGAAGATGCAAGTTTACATATTACAAGAACAGCTCAGCAAAGCAGATAACCTTAAGCAAAGCAAAATTTGATTCATAGCAAATAAGTCATCACAGAAGCACAGTTAGTATAGCATAAACCTCTTCCCTTCAAAGTATGACATATCTTACCTAATTTCATTACAGATTGATTACTATCCAAAGGTTTTGTGTCTGGATGGGCAAATGGTTTTTTTGTGGTCTCTTTGTAAATATCTTCGAAATATCTGAGCACTGCCACACCATCCCCCCATGAATGTTCAAAATTCACACCAGAATACCCATCTTTAGTAATTATAACACTAATTGACTTGTCAAACCATCTGAAATATGTGCCTTTATTATTTATCTATCTGTTAAAGTTTGATTTGGATTGCAATAATCAGCATGTGACATGTAAAGTCCAGAAACGATTTGTCTACACCAAATGTTACTTTACTCTGGTTGAGAATGAGATATGGTATGACCACTCCAGAAAAATGTGACATTTGGGTGTATACAAAATGTTCTTGATTTCATCATGGTATGCATACTGTTTTATGTTATCATTAAATGTCTAAATGCATCACCTGTTCAGACCATCACCATGAAGGTAGTGTTTCAAAATTTGATGTTTATCATCATTCAAAACTTCTTTATCCAAAACAAGGTTCAGAATGGCGGAATCAATTTTATTTAAGACACTCTTATTTCCTGTTGCTTCCAAATATTCTCTCTGTTTTGCCCATTTATCACGATTCTGACACGTTAAAATACCAAGAGGGTGTTCATTAAATGGTGTGGTATCATTATCTATTTGAATGAGGTTGCCTAATATCTCTCCAGGAGACAAAAGATTACCTGTAAATATAGGTAAAAGTTAAAACCTACTGGTATGTATTTATGTTAGAATTAATTGTATTTGTCAAAAAGTATAGATCAGCTGATACTGAATAGATAACCATGAAGCTAAAAGTGATGTCTTCAAAAGTTAATAAATTGATTATGATAAATATATACATAACAATATATTATGAATACATAACATACATATTCCTCAATAGTTATTTTTTATCATCCCAGAAGCTTATTTTATACAAAAAAATATTGTTATAGAAAATTTTCAATAGTTTAGCAAGATTATATTTCTGTGACATAGATAAGAGCATTAATTATCATATCAATATAGGTAATAAAAAATATGCATTGCATAAAGAAATTTAAATATAATAATAAAAATAAATAGAATAGACAACTAATATCAAATGTTCTATTCACCATTGACATCAAATAGATCGAATATATAGAAGTTTCCATTTTTCTGAACAACAACATGTTTGCTTGAGGGATCTCTTAAAATTTTATCTTTGTTCAATTGTGGAATACGGGTAGCTCCAAATAAACCTTGAAATTGACTCATATCCAAAGGAAATGCTTTAAATAAATAGGCTCCATACCTGTCATTTAAAAAATAAAAAGAAATTGTAAATCTGATGTATGCACAAATAATATAACAAAGTTTTTAAACAGAAGTATTAGAAAATATGTAGAAGAATAAATTTTCATGAAAAACACTTAAAATTCACCAGCCCCAAGTAACACTCAGGATGGGACCTGGTATCTCCTGGTTGATGGAGTCTTTAAAAAATTTTTAATCAAAAATATTTATCAGTTTGTTGAATACAAAATTGATCAAATATTTCAAGTTTTGAATTTAATATTTTTCATTAATAACTACTAGAAATAAGGAAGCATAGATACTATGCAGACTTAGTCCAAAGTCCAATTTGATAATACCAACCATGACAATGCTTCAGGCAAAAATCCTGTGACAGTTCTGAATAAAGGAGTGTTACTTTTCTTGGGGTTCATATGGTACACTTCTGGCTCCAAAATTTGCTCCCTCAAAGATGATAAAAACCTTGCAGAACTTATTAAAATATTAGTAGCTCTAACTAATTGATTATTGTATTCGGTTTTCACATCATTTTGAAATACTATTAGAGGATTGTAGTTAATTGGGAGTGGGGAGCGATCGCGTAGATACAAGTCAAACCAATAATCTGAAATATAACTTGTGTGTTTGGAAGCTCTATCCTTCATAATTAGCTTTTCTTGTAACGTTTTGCCGGAAATTTCTACAAAAGCTTTGGTCCGACCTTCAGCTTCGGCATATTCTTTTTTGGACAACAAAGGTTTCAGAGCATTTAAATAGCGTTCTCCAGTGTTCTCTAATTTTGGAATTGGTAAACGGGGTAACGACTTCTGAAAATGCATAGTAGGAACTCTACTTCTCTGCAAATATTGATAATTTGCATCAAAAACTTTACGTTTAGAATAATATCTTTTGGGATGTAAAATCTTGGTAGAAAAATATGAGCATTTTACTGTTTTGCTTAAAATATATCATGATAAATTATTAATTAACAAAATGAGTACTATAAAACTAAAATTAATAGTACTTTGCTTTTACGAAATACATAAACAACATAAAAATATATTTATACGTTTTGAAGGGAAACCAGAAGAAAACTGTTTGACAAATGTCATGTCATGCCAACGTCATTACTTGTTGTTGTAATGTCAATAATGGTAAGGAGCTGTAGTTCATAAAGTCTAGTATGATAGCTAGTTAAGACTCTCGTGTAAACAACGAGATGAGTGGAACAAGTGCAGGTATTACATTCTTATGTCGTCCTCATTGCTCCTCGTCTCACCTACATCATGTGATCCAAATCATCAATCTCGGAAACTGATCACTTTTTCCTTTAGCTTCTCAGTTTTGATATATTTTTATGTGGATAAAAACTGTAAAATAAAAGCATTAATATCACATATACATGTATCTCAGTGATGAAAATGTCCAATCTAAGGATGTTGGTGTTAGATCCCGTTTCCTTAAATAAAAAAGAAAACACGATCAGTGTGACCCAATCAAGGAACTTATACCTAAACTGGAATGTGCACTGACAATTGAATACTTAGGAAACAAGAGTCTTATGTGTACTAGCACTAAGTTCAATTTTGGACAACCTTTGCTTGGAGAGAAATTTGTGCCGAGGGAGAAACCGGCCCGAGAGCCCTGTGTCCCTTTCTAAAGTATTGCCAGGAAGTTAGTATTTTTAATTTATTAGAAATGGTAAAAAAAAATCGAAGAAGCAAACTTGTTATATGGAACTATAAATGTTTAGTTTTCGTTCTATATATTATATATAATATTTTGCAATATCTGTTACAAGTTTTTTATAAGTAATTTGGCCGTATATTGAAATGTAATTGAAAAATAAAACTTTGTTAGTAGAATAAATATAAATTAGAATGGCAGTACGTCAGCCATAATGTTTTGTTGTAATAGTGGAACGACGTAATGGAACAAAATAATTTTACCGTAATTTCACAATAAACACTCGATTTCTTAATTCAAACGAATCTCAAGATGGTAAAAAAGTGTGCAATTCAACATTGTAATAGTGAATCTTATGCTGGGTGCGGTATTTCTTTCTTTAAGTAAGTATTTGTTCTTTTCGTATAGTACTGTGTCAATAGTTTAAAAAATTGTAGGACTAAGTAGGTACTGTAATTAATAAAAATTATCCTTTTATATTTCCCATCACAATAGCCCGCCCCACCGCGTGGTAAGCTGGCCGCTTGCGGATTTTCCTCCGTCATATTCCCGCTTAAAGATAATGACGATGATGTTATATACTATTCAATATAGCCTAATAAATAAACTATCCAACACAAAAATATTTGTACCTGCTATGAGCTATGAGCTGCTTTAAAAAATATAAAATTAAACCGATATTAAACCGCCCACGAATTGAGATAGAGTCATACTACTCGTATACCTTTGCTCCCAGGTATGGTTATGCTCAAGATTTTCAAACCTTTTTTCTAAAATATTATTTCAGACTGCCTCATGAAGAAAGCATGAGAAGAAAGTGGCTTGACGTCATTCCAAACCCAAAAAATATAAAAAGTTATGCCGTCATCTGCAGTCATCACTTCAGGCCACAAGATGTCATAAAACATACATAGTTCAGCTTCAAAACTGAAATCAGATGCTGTTCCAACTATTTTTTCAACGGTGAGTAACGAATAGTAAAGACATTGTATCTATACTAATAATATAAAAGTGAAGAGTTTGTTTTTTGAACGCACTAATCTCAGAAACTACTGGACCAATTTAAAAAATTCTTTTTTTCGTTCACACATTCACGTTGATTCCCCCACATCAACCTTTTAAGTTAAAGTGTTTCACAGAACTTTTTATTTGTGGCAGTGGTGTTTTTTATAGTACAAATATAAATACTAAGCCTTTTTCATTTACAGATTGATTCGTAAGACAAAAAAATAAATATTGTAAGCAATATAGTTGTCCAAATCAGGAAGTGGTGATTAATGAGAAACCTGTAAATATTATCGTACGTCCTGAGAATAAATTTGAAATAAGCTCTATGCCCAGCACTTCAATGGAACCTCCTATGAAGAAAATGCGATGTGCATCTGAAGAAATTGACGTTTTAAAACGAGAAGTCTAGGTTCTGAAGCAACGAGTAAAAAGAAGAGACCTAAAAATAGACAGCCTTAAAAGTTTAATAAATGTAATAAAAAAAAAGACATATGACCCAGTGGAAGTTGAAAACGTTATAAAAAGCAATTTTGTACATAATCATGAGCAATTGCATTAGAAGGTGTGGTGCCTTAAACGATAATCCGAGTTCGCTTCAATTTCGGTACACGTTAAGAAAGCTTTTGTTTCGCATTAGCGTGCAACCTAGTGTTAACGCTAATTGTGGCACAGAGGAAGATTTTGAAATTACTCCTGTTTTAGAATTCAGACAACCCAAACGAGCAATTATTGAGAATGCAGAGACTAGTGATGACCAACAACTTATTGATTTACTGTTTTATGTCGACAATGAAGAATTTTCATATTACAAAAACAATATACTTTATTACATATCTGGGTGCTCTGCAAAAAAAATATGCGAAAAATTAAGTGCGTTCAAAAGTTTTTCAAATTATTCTGTATACAGAAAAAATATTCACATTTCACAGCTTAGAGTCATTAAAAAATATGAATAAAAATAAGATTATATTATTTGTTTTGCAAAACTTTTATACTTCTCTAAGAAAGTATTTTGATCCCCCGCATCCAGTTCAATAATTTCACTGTGAAGATTCACACGAAATGCAGCTTATTAAAAGCATAGCGTCTCATTATCTTACCGCACGTTTGATGAGCCACGGTAAAACACAAACATTGAAAATTTTAGGTCACAAAACGACGTTACGACAAAAATTGCATAAAACAGTTCTTTTTAGCAATGTGTGAATATGGTGTGTTCAAATTTGAAATAAATGATTCGATTATTTTTTTTTTCATACTGAATTTTATTTTATCTTATGCTTATATCACAACTAGTTGGTGCCCGCGGCTCTGCCCGCGTGGTTAGCCATCATTCATTACCTAAATCAGCTAGTTCTAAAGTAAAAGTAACCTAAATTACCCCTTATTCATTTTATTTTATAATTAGATTTAGATGAAATCGAGTTACATTCTCGTACATACATGGTCTATGCTACCAAAACATGATCCAAACTATCAAGTACTTTATATTGTTCGGCATCCTAAATCTATGGCCATCCTAGTGTAAGGGACACAGGGCTCTCGCCAAGCTATCTTACTCGGACCGCGTTTCGGTTAACAGTGCACATTCCAGTTTAGGTATAAGTTCCTTGGACCCAATCGAGCAATATTTTGTGATTTTAGTGGAATCATATATTTGGCGAATTATGCTTTTCACTAGTTAACACTAGAAGCATTACTGTGAGCATTATTTATGTCTTACTGTGCCAACCCTTGATTATTTATTTGGATTTAAGGGGAATTCAGTTAAAACTTCGACTACGAATACAAGGAGTTGTTAAATGGATAAAACATAAACCATCTCTTAGAATCGGGAGGAAGTTCGTATCCTAGCACAATAGGGTATTTGACAATGCTTCAGGCAGTAGTATTTGTGTCATCACACGCCGGTAAATATGTCAAGACCACATAACCTATTTTTCAACTATTTATTTACGAAGTAAACAAGTAGGATTACAGAAGAATTATTGAAGTTAAATTTTATGTTTTGTATTTTTATCTACATACTCTGGATTAACAAATAATTTCTGTTTGTAGTCTGGGTGTAATACTCACAACACAGGACTTGTATCCAAAAAGCGGGAAAAAACAAACACAGATTTAAAATAACAAGAAAATGAACTAACATTTGAAAATCCATGAATAAAACTTTCTTTGAATTGTCAAAGCATCACGTACTTTCTTAAAGGGACGTTATAAACAATATTGAACTTAATGTACATATAATAGAAGTCATTCTTGCTGATTATTATAAGTCATCTAAGCACAAAATAAAGTATGGGGAATCTTCGTAAGTCAGTATAAATGGCGTTGCCATTCGCTACAAAATATCAGTTAAAGAAAGAGAATTATCCGAATTCGTCACAGGATAAGTAATGAAAAATTTCGTGTTCTATTCATTCGGTTCGAATTTATAGTTGCGTTATAAATATGAATTGGTTCAAATATTTGAAAAATATATTTAATTGTTTACTGTTAAATTTTGCCGCCCCCTAAAAAGTGTAGCCCTCCCCCTGCCCCCACTACGCTATGCCACTGTATGTATCATGTTCGTTTTGAAGATTTATTAAAGTATATCTTTAATGATATCTGATGATATGATAGCTACCTGTTTACGTGTGACGTCACACGCCGGTGAACAGAACCTGTGGCCTAATAAGGAAGTATTGTAAGAAAAAAAGAAAGCACTAAAAACTCACTAGATGGCGACTCTAGCCAAAGTTGATTTTTGCAGGAAACGAATTGACCAAAGATAGTCATTTCTGTTCCTTTTAACTAACATACTAATATACTGAAATTTGCAAAGTTGGAAACTTGGATATCAATACAAATACGAAAAAGTAGAAATAGAATATGAGTTGTCTATTGAGCTTTGAAAATTAATTTACTTTTATGCATGACAGAAAACCAGAGGGGTTGTCATGGAGAAATGAAAAAAGTACCGTAGCGATATCTAGTTTGATTTCAGGAACTAATGTTTTTTTAAATGCTTCCTCATTGTCTAAAAAAGTCTTTTACAAATCACTTTGAATTTGAAAATTGAAAGGCATTCGTGAACATTACTCCACGATTCTGCCCTCATTAGTGTTTGTTATTAGTTATTACACGTGTTTAAGGGATTTCGTTTGTTTTGTTAATTTTAAGCCTTCTTTCTACGCGGAACTGCGATATAATTAAGTGTTTGTATTTTATCCTAACATTAGGTGTTGGTAAGTACATTTATTTGTTCTCCTGTCCTTTCCATTGATTACAAAGTAATCATGGAAAGGACCCCTTCGGATCCACCGGACCGGTCAATGGAATTTTCACCTCCTATATTTACCCAGACTAGCCTCAAACGACGTAATGATTCTGAACCCGAGGTAAACGACGCGCCTTCTAAAAGAGTAATTACTGAGGCCTGTCAGTCGGACACATTAGACCCCTCTCCT